TCACAGACAATTGACGAATCCCCTTCGACCACCCAAATGTTTCTCGACACAGTGATTTCGAAATTCTCATTTGATCATAAGATCGTTCAATGCCGATAAAAGTGTTCTCTTTATAAGATTTAATCAATTTTTTTTTTGCGTTTATAAACGCAGTTTTTAATTTCTTTATAAATTAAATTCTTTATTAATTATATAATTCTTTATTAATTATTCTCTAAAAATCTAAAAGAATTCTGAAAATTTGAATTCTGAATCTGAAAATATAACTTCTCGCTTCTCTCTCGCGGCGGAATAAAGTTAATTTATTAGTAAATTTTTTAAGCTTGCATTTATAATGTATTTTACACGCAGTTCAATTAGCCGTTCACAGAACGTAACAAGTGATATTTGTTAGTACTGTTTGGTCAGTTTATTTTATGGTTCATTAAAGCATCATTGTGTTTAAATCGTTAATTACTGTGAGCACTGTTACGTAAAATTACAAAGTGTACCAACAACGCGTAACGTTATAGTAGCTGCTTCCTCGCGGCCATTACTTTGTTGATTAACTTTTAGCGAGATATTTACTCAATTAAATATTTACCAAACAAAGAGGTATTGGGTTAGTCTTTGGATAATCTAATGAATTTTTCTAAAAACATGAATTTCGCGCTACATTCTCTTTTAAGTCAAACGTCATTGTATATCATCAGTTAAGCTCGTAATGCCGATATATGTACGGCATTAGGTCTCTTGCTCATTCTACAGTCTATTAAAGGCAATATTGTATTTAACCCGATAATTAATTTGGCCGTGAACACGTGTAAGCGCGAAATGTCACCGCACTTGTAATGGCGTAATGCCGGCGTTACCGGATGTTATTAATTATGACTTGCACGTAATTCAATTAATATCAACAGCACGTTAATTAGTCAATTATCCATCGAAACTTATGCGTGGCTTAACGGCCGACGTAGTCGCAGCTCGCTATGAGAAACAGCAACATTGGTAGCGCATATAATCCCGCGGATAATCGAGGTGATTTTGCGCGGGAGTTCTCTCGGCGCGAGGAAGTCGACATTTTCGCGCGGGCGATGAAATAACAAGTGCGCGAAGTGAGATTGTTAAATATCAACGAAATATTTTCAACGCTCTATCGGAACGGTGCCGTAAGTTGAGCAGACGCGCACAGGTATTGTAACAGCGTCGGCAAGTTTGCTCACCGGCGAGGCCGCTGAATTATGGATGCACCTCACTTTTAGATTGCATTGTGCATCGTGTGTACCTCCCGATTATCTTCACAGCAGATTTTCGCGATTACACGACACAGGAGTGTTCTTTGCCGCGAGCTCGACTTCGATCACGATAAGATGCGTGTGTGACGGCGTATCGTTGCCAGATGTGCCAGACGTGTCACATACCGGTACGTACACGTGGGAGTTCCACGTCGTGCATACCTCTCGAAGACGGGTTTACGCCAAATCTTAACTTGCTTGTGTAGAGGATGAGAAGGCTGTGCGGATAGGCAGACGTGACGCCGTATAAGTGCGCCGTCTACGACACCCCCCGTAGCTTTCACCCGATGTTTCAGCGCGCAATTTCCGTCAACAAACTTTCGCGTACGGTGTATTTGGCGAACGAGGCTTAAGACGAAGCACCGGCGGAATTAATATTATTTTGCGTCGGCAAGTTTTTTTCGTAACGACCATATTCCACGCCACTTGTCGGTTTAATTAACGAGCCACGAATCCATCCACGCGGAATTCTCCGCTGAATTTCACGCTTGATTCGCCGGTGAATTTCGCTGGAATCGTTGAAAAAGTTGGCCGCGTGTAGCACGGAGGATACCGGTGCGTTCTTAATAACGCGGGTTATTTTCGGACTTCTCTCTTTCTCTGCCGTCGCGTTTGCATGCGTACTCTTGCGATAAAGGGATTACCGCGTAATATAACGCCCCCATAGCTGTAGTAATAATACTCGATGATTTGTGCGCGTCGCGAAACTCACTTCGAGAATATATACGTTGAAAATTACGATAACGTGAACATTTCCGTTGGGATTTATTTGCATACAGATGTAATACAGAAAAAAAAAGATCGTCGCCAAAGGAACAAAAAGAGAAAATAATTCTTTATTCTTTTGTTCGCCTTTTTACGTAACGTGAACGTGGGTGAACTTTTTATGTACGGCTAGGATATTCACAATATAATAATCGCCATTGCGCACGAGACGAATTGCTATTCACGATCTGCATACGCGTTGTTTCGCTTGTCAGTTTTGCCAAGTGTACTCTCTAGCGTTTATTGGAGGCATGGCAGAGGAAGAGATTATCTCTCGTCAATAAAACTTGTTCAATAATTGATACGCTTTTATCAGACCCGCTCACGCGAATATTCGGCGGACGATGCGTAGAATATAAAATTTTATTTTTATGAGCCGTGTGCCGATCGTGTGCATTTGGCAAAACAATTAACAATATCGCGATAATTCCTCCGCGTTGTCGGCGGCTATATTTTCAGTATATCCCGTGCGTATTCGCGCCGTCACGTCTTGTGTTTAATTACATTATACGTATAAATCAACAATGCACAAGCTGACGTCGAATTTCCTAGTTATTATACTCCATTCCACATGCTTCCCGGTAAATAATAGTGTAAGCCACATGTTTCCCGATAAATAATAGTATAAGCCAATATCGCGCGCATTTCGATCAAAATATCAGTTTCCATTCTTGTGCCGGACTTCTCTTTTAATGAGGAATGAACAGCAAGACATTTTTTCGCTTGCGACTCGCACAAAGGATATTTCCGCAACACCTCATTTCTGTTGGTGGCGCGCGATATTTAGTCGTTAATTCGCTCTCAGTGGCACGATATCGTTTTAAGCGTACACGAGTCGATAATGTATTCAACGCACGCTCTATATGAAAGAGGTGTTACGTGCGACGAGAGGCACGCTCTTATCGCAGCGTCAAAATGCACGTCGTAGCTAGGCTGGGGAATTAGAAGGAAGCGATATAATGTGCTGAAGCGGATCATGCACTTATCTGGGTCATCTTCTTCCCGATAGGAATCTATTCACTCGTGCAGATGCAAGTGAATATTTCTAGAAATCCATCAGGGATTCAACTAAATATTTAACAGATCTACGTCTCATGCATGAAGAAATGCGTGTGTCTACGTGGCCATAACAATATTTCAAGTTACGTATCCTAAGAGACAGTGAATTTATATTTTCATGTATATAAAAAATTCTTTTCCCCACAATTATTTCTCTCCTCCTCGTGTCGATATATGTTAAATAGTGCTCTTACAAGTACCTTATAACGATATAAGATGAAAGAAAAGATATCAAGCAAGTTTTGCTTCGTCATATTTTACGTCGGGCACTTTTATATCTAAAATCACCGGTTATACTTCTTCTATTACATATAATTTATACACGATTCGCCCTCATTATACAGTAATATTCTTAATTATGCGCTACCAGCTCGCTACACGTTTGCGTATATTTTGTGTATTCTTGCCACCATGCAGTGAGGGAACGATCGATTCGCACGACGGTCGCGACTTTTTCCACGCACCCCCGGGAGAATTGTATGCACGCGGGGAAACAAAGTTCCGAGCGATTAAGTTCGTAGTCCTGTACCTCCTGTTGTCTTTTTAACGTCGCCACGCGAGAGACCCGGGGGAAACTTAACGTGAAGTGTGCTTCTTTAAACTTCTAATGGACATTGTTAGCCTCCCGAGAACAAGACCGGACGTTTCTACGATTCTACGCGCCACGCTAATGACGCGGATTCTCTTTTTGAAGCGAGACGTCTCTCCGGCTCGCAAAAAGTGCACTTTTAACTTTTAAAGATACCAGTTTTATCCCAGCCGTAACTCAGATCAGAAATGAATAAGTTGCTTGAAAGTGAACATTATGTTCTTCAATTAACTTGCGTGATCGAGCGCTTTAGCATGTTCTATAATTCAAGAAGAATCTCTACACCCCTTCAGCAACGATATTTTATTTCTCGCATTGCTTTCTCACAGAAGGGGGTGCGATTTATTCGACACTAGTTTCAATTAGTTATTAATTAGTTGTAATATTGACATTAATGACTCTTTCAGATCTTTATCGGAAATTAATATCGGTCTCCTATAATCCAAGGAAGCTTTCTATTTCAGCTACGATATCTTATCTCTCGCTTTGTTTTCTTATAGGAGGACGATGCAATTGATTCGATATCGTTACTAATTAGTTATGATATTTATTTAGTTTGAATTAGTTGTAATATTAATATCAATGCCTCTTCCAAATCTTCATCAGATGCAAAATTAATATCTGTCTTCTATAATCCAAGGAGGCTTTATACTATATCCTTTCAACTACGATATCTTATCTCTTGCTTTGTTCTCTTATAGGAGGAGGGTGCAATTGATTCGATATCATTATTAATTAATTACAATACTAATATCAATGAATCTTCCAAATCTTTATCGGAGGTGAAATTAATATTCGTATTCTATAATTCAAGAAGGATCTCTACACCCCTTCAGCTACGATATCTTATCTCTCGCTCTGTTTTCTTACAGAAAGAGGAGGGTGCAATTAACTCGATTCCGTTATTAATATTGTTGTAATATTAATCCTAGAGTCGTCGCATGGGGTCTTTAAGAGAATATTATATCCAAAATAGTCTTTTCTTATATTTTACTCAAAAACCTAATTAAACAACTTGGAACTTATATTGAACTCAAAAACCTAATTAAACAAAGAAAATATTTAAGTTCTCAACATAAAAGATATAAAATAATTTATTATATTGGGGTCTCTCAAGATCCCATGCGTCGACTTGTGTTTGAAAAGTAGCGCGACGACTGCAGGGTTAGGGCGAGTTTTTTAATTCATGCGATGGATCCATCGATGAATTGAAGAAGTCGCCCTTAATATCAATGACTGTTTCAAAAATCTTTACCGGAAGCGGAATTAAATGCCCGAGGGAATAATCGTTCGGAAAATGTGGTGTGCTGCAGGGGTAAGAGCATGTCACCGTGATGTTACATCGAAGCGCTTCGTCGCGGCGCCGGCGAGCGTCGCCAAGCATGGCAAATTCGAGCCTGCCGGCAGGGGCGTCTTCGACGATGAGAGGTAGACGAGCGAGTGTCGCCACCGAGAAGCCTGTCGTACTGCCACCAAGCAGTCCCGGCGGAACGATGGAGAGGCAACGGTCGCCGAGGGGTAGCGTGGTGCCGAATATCGCTCTCGACACCGAAAGCGACTCACCCGACGAGGTTTGTACTCCCATTCTTCTCATCTAATTTTCCGCGATTCCGCATAATTGTTTTATGCAAACGAATCTGAGTCTTGCGAAAAATTCATAGATTCTATTTTAGAACTATGGAAAGGAGAGAAAAGTTTCGACAAATATAGATTCGCGAACTGCTACACGTTTGAACCATTGTCATTTTTAATGTGCACGAAAAGTCAATTTTAGATCTAATTTGATATGTACATAACTGAGGCGTGGAGGAATGCGATTTGAGAAATTGGTTTTTCGTTTCATGTAGAAAATGTGCAGGGGTTTTGGTCGGGATTATTGGCCTAAAATCCATTTTTAATGACGACTGGAAAATAGGTCGACACGCGTAATATTTGCTCGTGCGTGATCAGTGGTCGTGCAAAAGCGAGTAGAAAATTATTCCAATCAGTTGAGATTCCCAGTCGGCTTCCGACTGGAATATGTAACGGATTTTATTTTCTTTTTCCGCTGGCTTCAGGCTACGCAATGTTGCGCAGAATATTCAATTACTCGAGGGATATTCGGGGGCGTAGGAGTGTTTGATGTCGTATACGACATAAATGCCGCGTATTCGATAAAACCAAATACGAGTTTTTGTCACGCCTTTTACGCATTGGTTTATCTATGAAATTTTGAGGTTGTGAAATTATGCGACGGATAGATTATCACGTGTTATTCATTAGCGGGCAATCGGTAGAGTGCAGACACACGAATTTCGAAAGCTATCAGTTGGCTTTGCGCAGTGTGTGAGCGCTGAAATGATTAAAATCCATTCGTTTCAATCTGGCGTTTTCACTCGCAGACATACTCGTGACTTCTCTCTGCGTTTCCACAAAAGGATACAATTTCATCTCTTTGTATTAATTAAACTAGGTATACAAGAGAAAAATCCCATATTTACAAACGTCAATTAAATTAAACAATAAAACCTTAAATACTTCATAAAGAGAATAGTAACACAAAATAAATGTATTTTTGGTCTGCTGGATATTTCACGCGGAAAGAGAAACGTGATCTCCCTGGTGAAAAATTGATCATAAAATCGATGTTTCTAACGAACAGTGTAAAGTTGGAATGTTAATATTTCTGCTCTGATGAATCCCAGAGACGAAGTCAATTTCTCGTGTCGCCGCGGGTGCTCGATTAAATAATAATACAATGATCCTTCCAAGCTTCATGAAATTCTCAATTTCGAGGAACAAGTGCTCTAGGGTCTAAGAACCCACGTCCCGTTCCAGGGTATATGTCGCCGAATCCTACCGGATCTCGAGCAGTACGGCGTCTGTCGCAATTCCCTCGCGCCCGAGGTGAGTCGTAGTCCGCGAAACTCGCTGATACCGGACGACTATTGCAGAAGCCCGCGGGGCTCGTTGGTGCCGGATTCTAGCAGGAGCCCGCGCAACAGTCTGGTACCGGATGTGACGAGAACGTCGCGGAGCAGCTTGATACCGGAGGTCTCATTGAGTCCTCGTCACTCTCTGGTGCCGGACTCGGCGCTTAGCCCGAGGAACTCTTTGGTGCCCGACGTGGCCTACAACCGGAGTCCGCGGAACAGCATGGTGGCTATTGGGGCCTCCAGGACTTCCCTTATGCCAGAGAACGGTAGCGCCGCCTTGGGTGCCACTCGCAGCCCAAGGCACTCGCTAATACCGGATTCCACGAGGAGTCCACGTGGTAGCATGGCAAACTTGGACTTTGACCGGAGCCCGCGCGGCTCGATCTGTCCGGACGTACACAGAACACCCAGAGGCAGCATCACACCCATGGAGGTCGCAGACAGAAGTCCACGCGGTTCGATAGCCTCCGAGTGCCTGAACCAGAGTCCCCGCGGCTCAATCGCGCCCGACCCCAATCGATCACCCAGGGGCTCGATAGTGCCGGACTCTAATCGTTCCCCTCGCGGATCGATATGTCCGGAGGGCAACAGGAGTCCCCGAGGTTCGATCGTACCGCACGAGCAGACGAATCGATCGCCGCGCGGCAGCGTCGGCATGAATGACGTCGAGCGGCACTCGCGAGGTTCCCTTGGAGCTGTCAATGATGATGAAAACAGGAGTCCTAGGGGTAGCATTGGACCAGACGGAATCGATAGGAGTCCCAGAGGTAGTCTCGGAGGCATGCAAGACCGAAGAATGCCGAGGAGTTTGAATCCTAGAAGAGCTTCCGCGGATCAGGGTGAGTCAACTTCTAATTGTTCAACGCTAATGACTCGATATCGTAGATTCTGCTTTATGTTTTGACACATGCGTTTTTTATATCTTTTGATATATCAGAATGAAATTCTTTCATATCAAATGATGTACTTTTGATTTATGGTTGTATTTTATTATTTATTTATGTATTTTATGTATTATTTATTTTATATATTATGTTTTATATATTATATTTTATATTTATATTATATATTTATATATTTATATATTATATATTTATATATTATATATTTATATATTATATATTTATATATTTATATTTTATATATATATTATATTTTATATATTATATTTTATGTATTATTTATTTTATATATTATGTATTTTATGTATTATTTATGTATTTTTGATATATGGTTTAATAAACTATTTTGTAGTTATTGCAATTAAAACTTTAGTTAATAATTACAAAAATAGTTTATTGAATTATACATGTTATAGTACATTAAATTCTTATAGTTACTTTATAGTTTCCATTGTCACATTTCTCTCTGAGTGTGGTAATTGCTGAGAATTTTTTGCTATGAAAGCAGTCGTGCCAAGCAATCCTGCTTTGAGTTGTAGGTTACCCTTTTCCACGGTAAAACAAGTATCTGTATTGAGTTACGGGATTAGATTATCGGGGACTTGTCTCCGATGTCGCGCAACTTTCGTATGGAAATGGCCGCGAAAATGTGGTCGGGTACTTGAACGTATCGAGACCGCAATGCAATGCTCTGTGCTCGAGCACCAAAGTCCACCATGTAACCCGATATTCGAGACGTTACAGCATCGCGGTGAAACGCAATGGGATGTGCAGACGAAATGTTTGTGACTGTCGCAGGTGCGGTCGAATTGCGCCAATGATACGCCTACATATCGCACATGTCAGTTATACGTAGCGGAATTAAACGATTATCTGTCCGGTACTATCGATTTTCATTCGAAGTTTGTTCGGAGAAATCACTGTTGCAGTTAAAACGTACTGCTGGATATCCGTAAAGCGCGTCTGATGAAGACGAAGAACTTATCAATTTTTATTACGCATAGCGTATCGCATGTTCGACATCGATAAGCGTTAAAAGTAATGGATAACTTGTTTTTCTTCGCTTGCAAAATAACTGAATAAAGCTATCAGATAAAAAGTAAAAATTGCGCGATGTTTCATATATTAAAACTAAAAAGCTAATAATCTGATAAAATTTAAATAACTTTAGCATAATTTACTGCTTAATTATTGTACGATTATTTTAGTTTTATAAAATAATTAAATAAAATATCAGCTTATTTATAAAAATTATAAAGTAAAAAAAATTATAAAACTATAAAATTATAAAAAACTTATAATTTTATGAAATTATAAAATATTTGAGGTTACTTTTTTTATAAAAATTATAAAAATTAATCTTATTTTTTAAAATCTCTTTAATCTTTTTATTTCTAAAAATTAATTCTCTTATTTTTAAGATGCAGAAATAAGTAATTATACTTTTTTATGAACCCTTCCCCCGTGTGTATTTTTCCGATTACTTTGTAATATCTTTTAATTTTTGTACACCAAGAGAATATTATGGTTTTCTTTTTAAACATATAAATTTTTTAATTCTTAATTCTACTATGCTTTAGTAGTCCACAGAAATAGATTGCTAGTAATGTCCGTCTTACTAAGGTACACAGTAAGTGTCGTAAGAAACACAGGGGATGTTTTAATAGCATAGTTCATTCTTTAAAACATAAGTACAGCACAGTATGAAATGTAAGGATATATTGAATTACCGCAGAATGTCGATCTACTCGGAGGATTGCAAACATCTATAGTAATTTTTACAAAACAAATCTTTAGCGTGTACGATACAAATTTAGCGCAAGTGGATTCATTAGCAAAATTCTGCGCGACTGTTCGTTACTATTCCCGCCGGTGCAGGTTGGAGATCGATCTCGCGATAACATGTATCTCTCTTCCTACGGTAATGCAGTGGCAATTTGACGCTCATTACCGTACAACTCGACGTCAGGTCTCTGGAGGAGCCGATTAAGTTTCGTTCGTTTCTGCCGTTGCGCCCGAGGCATCGAACGCGCGATAGATACGGATAATATATCTCGAATAGCGGAAATTGGTTGCCGGGCGATACACTCCCGCGTGTCGGTCGTCATGGTGTCGTGCATTCGATACTTCTCGTCGGATGCGACAGACATTCCGCGTCTCGAAACAACGCGTGACACGACTTACCGAACGGAACGGAAGGAGCGATCTGCCAAACGATGCAAAACAATATCGACAAACCCGAGCACGATCCGACGCATCCGACCTCGGCGTGGGCTTTCGCCATTAAGAAGCGACGCCGAGAGAAATCCTTTCATCTGTTTTCTGTACTCCCACGCAGTTAAATTTATTGCGCCGCGATTCAATCAGCCCTTGCAAATGCGACTCCATGTCAGGTATTCTCGATTTTACGCAACGACTTCTCAATAATATCATTGTGCCTCGGCACAAGCGCGATATTGAGAAGCGAAAACTTCCCGATTTGTTAGATTTTTTCATTATTCGATCTTTCAATTTTCCGAAACACTACAATATCGTTGTGTCGGAGATTTGCGGAACTTCGTCGAACTTTCAGCCGTGCTTCTTTTATTAACCGCAACGCGGAACATACCAGATTCAATTAAAGTATATCTACCATCGTTATTGCTGGCACTTTCTGACATCTTTCAGATAATTGCGCGATGCAGCGTCTGTAAAATGACCGATCTTTCCGACCGACGAACTTATATACGATCTACTTTCGCAAACTCCCTAATACCACTGAGCTGCTATTGTCGGCTCAAAAGTCCACATCCTGCACATGTGTTGGCACGCTGCAACGTTAAGCTTCATGAGCCAACCTTAACAAACTTGCACACGGCTTACCACTGCCTTAGATACATCCGCATACAGATGTATATATTTCGCGGTAACGAGTTCGCTATTAATATTCTTGAAGCAGAGCTGTCTCGCAGAATAAGACATAACTCCTGTGAATTGTATGCAGCTGAGGAGCTTTTTAACGTAGTGAAACGACGACAGGAAAATGAGAAGCTTTTTCGCCTCAGCAATAATTAACATCATACGCGTTGATATATTGCGAAAGGTTATGCTTCGGTCGCGCAAATTGGCCTGATTTTGTCGAGCGTGCACGGCGCTTATTAACGTCAGCGGCCACGCAGAGCCACCGTTGGTCACGAAATCGAAATGCGCGTCCGATAGGTACTGCTACTTAACTGCTTTCGCGCCAATGTAACGCGAAAAGGGCTTGCGTGCGTTCATACGCGATCAGCAAGGCGGCCCGCGCGTTTTCCCTCCGGACTTTTTCAGCGAGTGAAAATCAAGTTACACGTACAAGGTGCAATTTTCTACTCCATAATTTCGCAATCTCCATCGTTGCGGATTTATTTTAGCAATTGTAATTCTGGACACGCATCAAAGCGCTTTTCTGCAGCGAGTCGCGCGAGGAACGTTGCGATAATCGACATCGCTTCAGCAGATGGGGGCGATTCGTATTCCGTAAATTAAAAGCGCGGATTTATCGCACGAGGCAGCGGCAGCTCGCTGACAAAGATATCTCGTCGCCCGAGTGTAGCAGTTTGCAATATACGCGATCTCTTTGCTGAAAGCGAAATTCACACGGGCACACGACGAATGTAAATTAAAACCCGCACTAACGCTATTAATTATTAACACAGCACTGTGCTTGCAGCTATGCAAATGTGTGATTATTGTCCAATGTATGATTATCTGGTGACTTGCTAACTGCAAACACGAATGTATATGCATAAATGTGTATACTGAGGCGAGTATAGAATAGAAAATAAATATTTAAAACCAGCATATTAAACTAGCATATGATCAAAAGTGCAAAATTTGAACACTAAAACAAATCGGATATTACTTGATTGCGTTTAGTAAACAGATGTAGGAAAATTCTCTCGCGCAATGAAGCAATTTCGTGTACACGAATTTCAAGAACGTGAAAATGTGTTCTAGCTGTAGGAGGAAATTGGTCATAGTTATGCAAGAATAATCCAACCTACTAAATTATGATTTTCGAGTTTTTGCTTCACCAGTGGGTAGCTTTTATGTTTCTCCATATAAAGCAAACAAGTAAAATTAATTAAAAAACAGTTTCTATTTTATAGAAACTGTTATTATTCTATTCTATTTTAAACAGTTTCTATTTTAATTTCTATTCTTTATTAGTTACGTCTTTTTTACTTGTTTTTTTAAGAATTAAGATTGCCAATGAATACCTCTAAAGAGAAGAAAATGAGTATGCTTAACTTCTCGAACGATTACGAAGAACTTCAGTGCAATGTATATTTTGTAAATTGTATATCACTTTTCCATAAACGTATTTTACATAGGTTGGATTATCTTTGCATAACTACCATTGCCGACTACAGATGAAGAAAGGAAAAATAAAATATCTTCTATCTGTATTTCGCGATCTTGTTGGCCAGGAGTTGATTGCCGTCGATATATATTCACGTGATAACGAGCAAGGTTGTCTCGAGCTTTACAAGATGCCCGGGGAAATTCAAATATTTGCGTTTATCTAGGGTGCACGAGAAACCGAAGTTCCTCGCCTTATCGCCAAAGAGAAGTGAGCTCGGGAAGTGTCAGATCAGGCGGAAGCGCCGGCGCCCAGATCAACCTGGGATACGGGACGAATGCCTGGGCCGACTCCAGGCGAGCCAGCAGCTCCGTTTCGCAGGTAACCTCTTGCCCCCTTGTCGGCTATTGTTATCTCGGCTACGTACAGGGAATTTTCTTTCTCTGCCCGCGTCGTTTACGTTGCACGTCTCAGTTATGCTACGAGTGTTTCGCGATACTTCGTCCGAGTGACGAGAAAAGGAACGACCAAGACACGCGAGACCTTTATGGCGCACCGGCTGTACCACAGGTGACTCGAGAGTGCAATTTGTCATTAATCATTCGTCGCAGTAATTACGCCGGTGACGCGAAATGTCGCGGACAGCGGAAATGATGCTTTTCACGCGCAGGAAGCACGCTAACAAGTGCGACCTCCGTGAGTTTAGAGAAGGTTTCTTCTCCGTTTCAACGTTTGTTGAAACTTTGCGCGAAACGGCCAAGCTCGGGCGCGTAGTTATTTCTATCACAGCTGAAGTGCCATTTTAAATATGTATGCAACGATATCTCGCGAACCAGAATGTCATCTAGCTGGCACAACGGAGCAATCTATCGAACAGAGGAAAAGAGAGAGAGAAAGAGAGAGACAGAGAGAGAGAGAGAGAGAGAGAGAGAGAGAGAGAGAGAGAGAGAGAGAGAAAGAGAGAGAGAGAGTTAATATGCTTCAGATACTCTATAGAATATCTTACGCGACTTTTCATTGAAGCTTCGTTCCCTGCGAGCCAGGGATAGTATTTTAAAATATTAAAAGATACTATCCGCATAAACTTTCACGATTATAACGACGTGAAACAAATGATGGAAACTTTACTTCTTTTAATTATACTCGTCAATAAAATTATCGCATAGGTAAATTCATGTCGACATTTTGCACAATTTTAAATAGACATAATAGCGCGAAACATTATCGTATTTGAAATCTTTCTTTTTTATTTTAAAGAGCGTAAAAGTCTGAAGTTTAAGGAGCATTCGTAAATTTTGAATTTACTCTTTCCCCTTCCCGCAGTCTTTTCAGAAGTAAAGACGTGTTGCGTCTCCAAAAAATTGCACAATTTGACGTATCCTACGAGGTAAACTAAATTCTTTTCATAAATTTCATGATAGCCGTTGTAAAGTACAGACTTTCTCCTGCAATTTAAAAAAAAAAGTGAACTAGTACGATCTTTTTTTTCGGAGTTACGACATAATTACCTATGCATTTTAATTTTAAATGAGCATAATACCGCGAAACACTATCGTATTTGAAATCTTGTTTTTTTATTTTGAAGAGTGAAGTCCGTATTTTAAGGATTTTTATTCGTCTGATTTTGAATTTAATTTTTCCTTCCCGCAATCTTTTCAAAAGTAAAGACGTGTTGCGTCTCCAAAAAATTGCACAATTTGTCGTATCCTACGGACTAAAATCCGTGGACTAAATTTTTTTCGTAAATTTCATCATAACCATCGTAAAGTATAGACTTTCTCCTGCAATTGAAAAAAAAAGCGGATTTGTGTGATGTTTTTTTTGCGGAATTACGACATGTCAAAGTTACCTATGCATTTTTTTAAATCGCTTAATTTGACGCCCTTTATTGAGTAGAGTGAATTCTTTTCACAAATCTTACGATAATCATCGTAAAATATCGACGTTTCCTTGCAAATAAAAAATAAAGAAGAGACGTGCTAATGGTAATGCTAATGCTGATGGTAACTGATTAAAAATGCATAGGTAACTTTGATACGCCGTACATCACGGAAGAAAGTCGTGCACACCTCTTCTTTATTTTTTTATTTGCAAGGAAATATCGATATTTTACGATGATTATCGTAAGATTTGTGAAAAGAATTCATTCTACTCAATAGACGTCAAATTAAGCGATTTAAAAAAATGCATAGATAACTTTGACATGTCGTAACTCCGCAAAAAAAAATCGTACAAATTCGCTTTTTTTTAAATTGCGAAGAAAGGAATAGGAGAAAGTTTATACTTTACGAAATTACAGTTTGCGAAGAATAGGAGAAAGTTTATACTTTACGATGGTTATCATGAAACTTACGAAAAAAAATTAGTCTATCCCGTAGGATACAACAAATTATGCAATTTTTTGAAGACGCAACACGTCTTTACTTTTGAAAAGACTGTGAGAAGGAGAGATTAAATTCAAAATCGGACGAATGCTTCTTAAAGTATGGATTTCATTCTTCAAAATAAAAAAAAAAGATTTCAAATACGATAGTGTTTCGCGGTATTATGCTCATTTAAAACTAAATGCATATGTAATTTTTGATGTGTCGCAACTCCGTGAAAAAAAATCGTACAAGTCCACTTTTTTTTTAAATTGCAGGGGAAAGTCTATACTTTACAACGGCTATCATAAAATTTACAAAAAAAATTTAGTTCGCCTCATAGGATACGTCAAATTGCTATGATACGTGCAATTTTTTAGAGACGCAACACATCCTTACTTCTGAAAAGAACTGCGGGAAGAGGAGAAAGTAAATTCAAAATCGGACGAATATTCCTCAAACTACAGACTTCACTCTTTAAAATAAAAAAAAGAAGATTTCAAATACGATAATGTTTCGCGCTATTATGCCCATTTAAAATTGTGCGAAATTTTGACATAAATTTACCTTTGCGATAATTTTGTTGACAAGTGTATATTTACGAAGCAAATATAACATATATAGAATTAATCATTGAATTTACATCATACAACAATAAATTTTCTCTTTTATCGATACAGTAACAAATTTACTAGAAGTTACACTTAGATTTTCACGTTACATATGATACGACATATTGTTTTGATTTGAGGCAAATTTTAACATTTTTTTCGTATTTCTTCCGTATTTATATCTCATCATTCTATTCTATTCTATTTCTGATAAAAATATGAGGGAAAAAATCTGATTGATTGCGAGAGACTCAACGTTGCTAAGTAATATAATATATTTAAAGTTATTGTACGTACATCAGTCTATCAGAGTGGTTATTAAAGCGGTATACACACACCAGCAAGATATCATGTCTTTTTGTACAAGGAAACAGGAACAGACTTGTTAACAGGTAAGTTATTAAAATCCTGATTCGATCAGATAATTATGAGATGGGTCTCGTCTAAGTCACGGAATACGGATCGAAAACTTGCACGTGCATCACTCAAGTATTAAGCAGAAAATAGATGCGTTAAGACTGAGACTCGTATCCTCGTGGGAGGTTTGCCCCAACAGGCGTTGCTCTTTGCCAAATTAATTTCCGTCGAGCCAAATTTCAATCGAGTGCAGAGCGACAGCTGCATAGACACGTTATTTCCTGTTTCTTCTGTTTTTTTCTTTTCCTCGTCTCCCTCTTTTCGCACTTAATCTCTTTCCGCGCTTATCCCCGTAAAATGTTCAAAGTAATTTCCTTCGTTACTGCTCTCAGAAATGTCGGCCTTGCAGTACTTCTCTTTTCTCTCACGTTATATCACGGCGGAATATCTATTTTCTCATTTGCAACTTTTTGTCGATCAATGGTAAAGTTTGCTTAAGTCTACTTACAAAACTAGAAAACGAGTTGAGATGTCCCTGGCGGAAGATAGCCGTGTGATAAAGAAAAAACGGAGTCACAGATAAAATTCGTTCATCTAATCAGTCGATTGAAAGAAGTGTGAAATTAATCGCACGTAGGGTAAGCCTAACAAAGTTATCTCGACGCCGTTCATCTCTCGGAATCGCTCGTTCGTCCTTTAATTAGATCACCTAGAATACAGAATGGCTTTCCCCGGCGGAGAAAGTTCTGTGCTGAAAGAATAACTCGCACGATCTGAAATTGCATTCCTGACTGGCTCCACGGTACGGACACAACGTGGCGCGATATGTTGCTGCAACACACGCGAGGTGAAGTAACGAGTGAATAACGATACGATCCCGGTAGCTTCGCAACGGAAATCCTATACACCGGCTTTTGTTCCCTTGCACTCTACCCTTTGCCGGAAAATTATAATGAGTCCGAAAGGGCTTATTTCGTCTTACGTGAGCTCATTTTTCTGTTTTATTTGCAAAAGAGGGAAACTATAGGAATGTATGATGCGTCTCCGGACCTTTGAACGCGCGATGACGAGACGACGCTTCCAACAAGATTTTTCCTCCTTTTCCCGCAATTCCGCTTTATTCGAGAAATGAAGAATGACTGATGCGGTTTCGGCTGCACGACTCGACGGGGTTTTACGCGATGAAACTGGCGCGCCCCCGCGAGCTCTTGGGATTTATTGCGAGTGCTGTTACGTGCCGCGAGCTCGCGTGTCTTGAGACACCAGATGTTCCCGGACTCTAAATAATAAACGAAGCACTGTCCTTGCGTTCAAATGTGTAAATTCCAGTGCGCATATGCGCGCGCCGGGGATGAAAAGTTGAGGATTTAAAAGCGCACTATTTGTACACAGGCACGCTCTGTTCGTGACAGCTTAAATTTTTCTCGCGCAGCGTTCACGCTCGCCGCTTATTTCGCACGCAAGAAACCCGTTTGGAATGTGTACGCGCTAGACGAGGTCTCTCAAAGGATCAATTTCGTACGGCATAAAGCGGGAATCGGTGGTACGGTGAGAAATAAGAGACGTGTCAGCAACCGTTTGGTGATGCTGCGTTCGCGCTTTTCACGATCGCTTATTGGATCCACGTTGTGGAAGGTGAACGGAATATAAATTGATCTCTGGTGTCGAACCTGAGCGGCGTTTCGAGAGAGCACTGATAATTCACGAAAGAGTGCCGAGACCGATAATTAAATCGCATCGACGGAGCTCGGTTTCTTCCAAAACATATCCTTTCTCGTTTTTCTCCGCCGATCGAATTTCTTCGTAAACATTCTTTTCGCACAGCATGGAAATTTTATTTGTCCCGAATGAAAGTTGTATTGACATTTGGGAATATTTGAAAAATTTTCTGACATTTATAAATTTGGACGCGAGCGTTAATTTTCGTTTTTGCTTCATAAAAGTTGTTCAACATGCGTTCCTTGCGGACGAAAAAACTGCTTTGGCTTGGTTGAGTAATTGGATTAATTCATAATCCAGGCATCCTAGATGCAGGCAGGGTAACACATGGTAAGGTGAATTAATATACGGGATGTAGCAACAAAGATAGAATAAACACAAACTGAAACGTCGCGAAGCAACATTAGCGAAGTGAAATCGATTAAATGTGGGGAAATTCAAGAGAAATGCGAGCGTTTGCAAATTTTGGCGAAATCGTTTCCGCGAGGAGAAGCAACGTCGCCTGTGCGATATTAAACAAAGTGAATGTATTTGCTGGCGGAAAATCGCATTACGTTTACGAGAGACTGTCGGAAGAAAATCTGATTTGAGCTGTCTCGCGTGTGCTTTCAGCTTTCAGGCGACGAGTCACGTCGGCTTTGCGCCGGCGGCGCCAAAGTACTCGAAAAGAGCGACGCGGAAGCTGCGAACCTCGGCGTAGCGACCTACGGTTCGGTCGTGTTTCAGCTGAAAGACGCCCATCTCGAGGCAAACGGTATCTGCGACTTTGTCTTTCGCGCACTCAAGGTTATCAGCAAGACGATGACGTTCACCATATGTCTCAGCTGTCTGTCCACTGTGCCTATCTTGATGTTCATCTTTGGTGAGTGTGACGTTACGCAAAGAATTGCTTTTTCTTGCGAGCGGGCGCAGAGAAGAGGAAACGGCCTCTCTCGATTGAATCTCGCGCGGGAACTTTGACCGATGATCAACCGCGCGGGAATAATTCACTCGCAAGGTAAAGATGTTCGCGAATGGTATAATGAATATTGCACAATGAGCAGCGGCGGGATAAGTGGGTCGAAAGTGGCATTACCTCTCTCTCGGGGCTGCTCGTCGCGGTTCGATCCGTTTTATACTTCGGCAACCGTCGCGGGATCAATACTTAGTATGCCTGTGCTTAAGAATTAATGACGGACTTTCTCGTGAGACTTGGTGGAAAGGAAGACTCAGTAAGGCGATATCACCCGTTTCCGTCTACTCTTACATCATCACACACACAGTGCCTCTTAAAATGTGAGCTCTGCTGTCGTATCTACTTGATATATAAGGTGTCTGACAGTTATTGACACATCCGTTGTACATGCAGATAGAACTCATTAAGCTGAACACAAAACTCCCCCACCATTTCGCAAGCAAACACGTAGGATTTTGCATTATTAATTAAGGAAGATTGATGAATAACTCGCAGACAAGTGTCGCAATAAAAGTGGCGCGATAAAAGTCTCAATAAAAGTGCGATCCACGCGCGATACGGTTTATGAGAGCTGTGATGACGTCTGCCATCATGTGCTTGTACATTAAGTAAAACTGAAAAAAAAATTCTCTACTATTTTGCAAATAATCACATAGATTTTTCGTTATTAATTAAAGAAGATTGGCATATGATTGTGCGCGAAGCTGCAACAATTCTTGAATTAATAATTCAAAACTTTACGTGGTTATTTACGAAATGGAGTTTGCGAAATAGAGAAATTTTGTGTTTAGTTTGGTCTAGTTTCATCTGCGCACAACAAATGTGTCATGAATTATCAGACATCGTGTATAATGTTAATTTGATACTTTTTATTGCGCTATTTTTTCATACGATCCCTCTAATCTATCACTTAACACTTTCCAAAGTTAACGCGTCCTTGTATTTTTTATGCACATGAAGGAAAATTGAATTGATTCTTGAAAGGAGATTAAGAGGGATGGAATAATTAAATAAGATGTAGCTTCCCGTGTGTTTAAATTATAAAATTTCGTGAAACTTTCCGACTACTTCTGAAAAGTGAGCTTTCTTTTGTTTCTCTCGGTTTTGCGATAAGTTTCCTTTGTTATCCCGTTAATTTCTCCCCTCTCTCTAAAAGGGATACTTTCATGCATTACGTCGAATGCGAATTATTTCAAATATCAAAGAAAAATTTTAACACGCGGTATTATCAGTAACGCGGCGTTAATCACTTTTCTTTCTTCAGCCGATCTCTAAGCTCAGTTCGGATTAAAGGAACGGAGCTTGATAACGGAAGATGATTCCCCGAGGTATTTCACGTCGAGGACGCGCCGATTGGTGTGGGAGATAAAGTCCTTTTATCAATGTCCCTCTGGTGAAAGTATATCTCGTGTGTCTCTCGCTGATATGAACCTGCGCGTGGAATTTTATCCGGACAAATAAATCGTTGAAATTCTTCGTCGGATAGAACGATAAATCACAAAGGCTTTTCAAAATTTCTAAAATTCCCGAATCGCTGTCGTTTAGTGTTGCGGTACATGAGGCAGCGCTATTTTTATAATTTGCCAAATATAATTAAGTGCCCATAAAACTTTTTTAAAAATATCGTTAAAAAAAATATCACTTCGCTATCGCAAATATTATACATGTCGCGAGAAAAATATATTACGCTGCATTAAAAATTGAAAATGTATACTTTAACGAACACACCTCGGAAAGAATTTTTTCGGGACTGAGAAAGGACAGATAGAAAAAAAGAGAGAGAGGAGATCTTAAAATATTTAACTATTTAACTCTAAAATTAATTATGGTAAATATACACGCGATTGGTAATTGGTATAGAATTCGAGTCGAAATGTTTGTTCTACATCAGTCCTACAAATTTGAAGAACTTAATGAAGAATCTCAAAACACTATACAAAGCTATTGTTGTACTTTACTGCAGATACCATAGAAGGAGGAGGAGAGCATACTACTAGGTGGCGGGCGGGAGACGCCGTGCGTTCGAGATCTGCGTATCTTTTTCGTTCCAGAAAGAGAAAAATATCGAGAGCGCGGTTCTTTTGGCTAGGCCGGGGGGGACTCGAACCCGGGTCTTTCGCTTGCCGGGCGACTGCTCTAAACCACTGAGCTACCTGACACTCCACGCTCACGACACTCTCCTCTTCCTAGATAACGCTCAGAGATATCGTTCGGAAGCGACATCTCTCGGCGCGATCCCGAGCGCACGGCGACTACAGAGAGAAACAATGTTACTGTACCAAATGGTACAGCTATCAGTCTCTCAAAGTCAAAGGTTGCTATCCTTTAAGACCTGCTATGTATGCCCGTCTCCACCGTTGCCCCTCCTAGTAAATACTGCAGGTGGTTGTTTACTGCCGTTTTGTCCATACTGAAGAAACTCGAAGAGAGAACTGATTCAAGAACTCGTTCAAAAAAGAATATTCAATATTCGATTGTCTCAGTATATTCTACTAGAATTTATTTATTTCCAAAATTTATTTATTTTTTATTTGTTTATATATATATTTCTTTCTATTTATTTATTTAATTCTAAAATTGCGGGGCGCGAGACAGTCGCGACTCGACGATGAAGATTCGAGATCCGATATTTAACTTGAATATTTTTTAACAAAACTGACAAAGTTCAGAAACTCTCAACGCGATCAAAGCTGTCCCTTATTCCTTTACTTCGCGGAGAAAATGTCAGAAAAATTAAACGCTCAGATGTATCGAATATATAAAACTAACACTCCCTCATTGCTACTCGCGACATTGCTCTGTCCGGTCGGAAAACCTCAAAAACCGCATGATTTGTAGGGAACATGGAAGAGGTAAAAATTTTCGATTATAGAACGGTTTAAATCATCCAATTATTTAAAAAAATCCGTGCTCATCCCGTTTCCCTTTCCTTTTCAAACACTCGTTCTTATTTGGACACGTGTGTATATAATATATATTATTCCATCACGTTATATACTATAATTGATGATAAACGAGATGTGATGTCATTATACATTAATACATTAATTCGCGAATATACACATGCGATTGGCAATTAACGAAATGTGGATACTTGAATAAAATTTACATAGATAAGCAGATGTTGAATTATTTAATAAAGATTACAGTGTGAGTAAATGGGTAAAAGAACAAATCGTTAGTCTCATCTCTTCCTAACTTCTTTTTTCTTTTTTTTTAACGAAAGTTGCGATGAAATTTGTAGCTCTTAAAAGAACTGATCTGAAGCTGGAAAGGTAAAAATAACAGTTATACGTCTAACAATCCTTATTAGTAACTTTATCAAAAATGTTTATCAATAATGATTTAACTATAGAACATCAGTAAAATAACAAAAGTTAAACAGAAGCATCAAAAGGTGTTGGTTGACGTTAACAAGACTGGATACGCGGCCAAAGAAGCATTATCAGACGTGAAAATCAACAGTCGCAAGATTTACGTTACATTCTAAGGCCGATATTCATAGACTCGTGAATTATTTAAGATTTTTGATCGAAGGTATAATTAATCACAGACTGATATTCATGGACTGTTACTTGGTCGTTTGGATCGATACTTCTTGTGTGAAATAATGCAAGAAATACAAGTATAGGTTGACAATTAATCGGAATACATTGAAGTTATAATTATATGTCGAATGATGACAAGTTATAAATGTTGGCCTAAATTTCGACTCGGATATTTCTTTATTTTCAAGTTCGCCAAACGTTCCGTAAAAACGGAAATTTTCTGTATAATAAATGATTTAGCACACCTTGAAGATATATGATGTATCGCCATCCTCATCCGGCGTCTTGCGTCTTTTATCTTGGCATCTCAACCCAGCATCCTTGCTACTCCGTCGTGGCACTGGTACTGACACTGACACTAACAATGACACTCGCGTAGAGACGATTATTGAATCGAAGATGCACGTGTTAAATAACGCGATCCCGACGAGAGACTGATTAAGTATCTCAAAAGTGCCGACGAAATAGTTTAATCACACGCGTAGTCCGCGCGCGTTGTATACGTGTTACTCGCCGGCATGGAACTGAACGGAAAACTTCAAAAAGTTCGCAACGAATAAAAGTAAACATGATTGCTTCGAAGGTTTTTGTTTTGTTTTGACTGCGTGATCACTTGGGCTCATTAATGAATGACTACCATTGGCGACGAGTGGAGATGAGTTTACATTTTTTACCGATTGTTCTCGTATTCTCGCGCGTCGCGCACTTTTTTCTGTGATCGAGCGTTGAAATACATTTTAAGAAAAATTAATATTGGAATACATATATGTATCGCATATGAATATGTATATATATATATATATATATATATATATATATATATATATATATATATATGGCATATAAAATACACTTTAAGAAAAAAAATAATAAGAAAAAAATTAATATTGAAATACATGTACAGAGTGTCCCGTATCACCTTCACAATCTTTCGTGAGGACGTAGAGCGGATTGAGATGAACACAAAAGTTCCATATCGTTTTGCGATATTCTTAATAACCGAAATTAATTAAAGAAGATTCGTCTGCACAGTCTGCCGTTGTATACTTATACATTAAGTTAAATTGAACAAAAAAGTTCTTTACCATTTTGCAAATAACCACATAGATTTTTAGATATTAATTAAAGAAAATTGTTACATAATTGTATACCACAATGCACAAATTTCCTTTTATTAATGGTAGAGGACTTTTTTGTTCAGTTTGACTTAATGTATAAGTATACAACAGCAGACGGTGCCACTGCAGTTCATCTATCATATCGCGCGTGATTATTCACCAATTTTCTTTAATTAATTTCTCGGCTATTATTGAAAATATCGTAAAACGGTATGGGATTTTTGTGTTCATCTCAATCCTCTCTTCGTCCTCACGAGAGATTGTGAAGGTATATGGGACACCCTGTATATGTATTATAGGGTACAGGGTATCCCTGTATAGGGATACAGGGTATCTCACACTCTCCTCCGTGCATTTTGTGGGAACGTAGAACAGGTTGCGGTGGACATAAAAGTTCTATACTGTTTTGCGATATTCGCAATAATTATCGAGATATTAATTGTAGAAAATTTGTGAATGATCATGCAGAATATGATAAATCGGTTATAGTAGCAACGATTGCCGTCGTATACTTATACTTTAAATCAAATTGAACAAAAAAGTCCTCTACCATTTTGCAAATAATCACTCATAGATTTTTAATTATTACTTAAAGAAGATGAGTGCATTATCATGCAAAATCGTGCAATAATCTTCTTTAATTAATAATTAAAAATCTATGTGATTACTTGAAAAATGGTAGAGGATTTTTTGTTCAATTTGACTTAATATATATACCTGTATATATGGCATAAGAATATGTATATATACATATGACATATGAAATACATTTTAAGAAAAATTAATATTAAATATTGCAAGCGCCTGAGAAAAGAATCTTTTTCATGCAAATTATACGGTATCATTTATAATTAATGCTACCGGGTTACGACACGCGAAACGCTAGCGTGTTGAGCTTACGGCATGCAAGCGTACTTACTTTCTCGGCCGCTTACTCTCGTGAAGGGAGGTATAGACGTTCAACCTGATTTATTACGGGTCCGGTGCATTCACCTTCCGGCGAAGTTCGCCCGTTAAAAACGTGCAATCGATAATAATGGCCTGGACGAACCGCGAAAGTGGCCGCGGATCATCGATTCTAAATGCGACTTAGGTCTTTCGTAAATCACGGCACGGAAATACAATCGAAAGGATCGCGGGTAGCAAGGTGCGCCGTGGAAATTGGATGATGCACTTAGAGCTTGGGTTGAAGAACGGGTGCGCGTGTTGAATTTTCAAAGAATTGCCACGAGACTGCAACTTGTTATCGTATATCTCGTGTCCAAAGGAAAGAGAGGAAAGAGATTAAGATGACTCTAATAGAAGAATAGAAGCTAAAAGATCGGTTGAAACTTTTTAGCAAAAATTGATTCAATCGGCAAATTGGTATCGATATGAGCTTAACTTCGTTCCACTTGACGTGTTATTTTCAAACTAATGGCCGCGAACGCGGTCTCGGTCGTTCATAACTCGCATTATTGCATCGGATGTAACGTCCACGTTGAGATTTAAATAAGCGTAATTGCGCTTCAGAGCTTTTGTGGTTTTGACGTAGTATTGTAATATCTTCAGAAACGCGCTCTTGATAACTGTATTAAATTCTTTTTTCATATCAATCTCATGGCGAATGCCACGAGAAATAAATCCTCTAGAAAATATCGCTCGAGATTATTCCACGTAGAATCAATAGTTCACACACACAAGACTCAAGACGAGTACAACAACAAGATGTGTGTTGCTCAAGTATAGTAGGAGAACCTTTGGATATTTGCATACATGTTAGCTTAAGTTGGATGTCGAATCAGGACGTGATACACAGGATGGATGTCCGGGAACGCAATTAATGCTAAATTATTCTTCGTCGGTGTTGCAAAAAGCGCATGATAATGACGCACGTCAGACACGCTACGTTCTGATGGATGGGTAAGAATATCAGCTGCTAGACGTCGTTTTCTTTTCTTCCCGATGAGAATAACGCTGATGAGCTCACATAGTATTAAACAAACTACCATGTCACGAACTGTAACTGCACAATACTGAGACTAGGTAATGACGTATTCGACTGCTGGCATACGCAGAAAACGAGAAAAAGGAAATACATCGCGATAAAAAGTCCACTGACGGTGGAGATCCCAGCGGAAAAATCAGAGCAGAGGTGGAAGTCGTAATATTGATTATTCATTGCCGTGTCGCGTCATTGCGCGCACATCATCCGACGCATTAAAATTGAAATTTATATGCGTATATCCAGACAGAAAAAACTCAACATAAGCGCGTTTTATATACCTTCCCCTCTTCTCCCGTGAGGGGAACAAATTATATACAAGTATTTCTTCGGAATCTAACCTCTCTCTCATGGAGACATAGTACGAATTAAGATAAACATAAAAATTCTATATACTGTTTTGCGATATTCCCAATAATTATCGAGATATTAATTAAAGGAGATTTGTGAATGATCACGCGAGATATGGTAGATGAGCTATAGTGGCGACGTCTGCCATCGTCAATTAGGTCAAACTGAACAAAAAGTCCTCTACCATTTTAATAACTTTGTAGATTTTTATTTATTAATTAAAGTATTATTAATTATAGAAAATTGGCGGATGGTCGCTCGCGATAAAATATTAATGTTTTCTAATTGGTAACTAAAAATCTACAAGGCTTTTAGGAATTGGTAGATGCCTCCATGAGAGCTTCCGAGATTGTTCTGCGACATCTTATATCAATTGTAAAGGGGGTATGATAATTTTTTATGTCCGTAAGCATAGACATCTCTTTCTCGTAATATGGAATAAAAAATCGCATGTCCAATTTGACTTTTACAGGTGTGCAGTTCATCAAGGATTGTCCGGTAGAGCCATACATTCCCGTGTACATGCTGATCGGTGGAGTTGTAGGCGCCGTGCGTATGTTTTGGGCGCTCTATTCGCAGATACGCTCTCGGAGGCCGGAGGTCTTGTCCGTACCTTCTGCCAGACCACATGTCTCACCCATGAAATTACTCTCCATAGCTTTATCGTGCTTCCTGGTCGGGTGGTTCGTGTTAGGTAAGCAAGATATTTTCTACGAAATTCTATCGCGTCTGTAATTTACCCCGTGAGAGCGGTCCTCGAACTTTCTGAATGGCACAATGCCACAGAGGATTTATTCACACACACAAACACGCATACACACATATACACACATATGTACACACAAATGCACACGATGAGTTCAAAGCCACATTACGGAAATATGTTCATAATACTTCCTTCCGTGATTTCATAATAATCTCACGTTAAAGTACCAATAAACTTGCCTAGAAGTTTATTATTATACAGAAGATAAGGAGGAAGGGAACACACACACACACAATCTCTCCAATAAAATACACGATAAAATTAATAACCGCTATTCTTTGACACACTATCCGGACAATTAAATCGAACGGTTTTCTTGTCTTATACTTTTTTACACTTTTTATACTTTTTTACTTCTTTCATTTTTCCTTTTCATCAAGCGATGCGCTAGCCCGACGATTGATTTTTTTTTATCTAAGCATTAATATGAAGTCATTAATTCACTTGTCCAGCACATTGTAATTAGTATATGCCAGAAAGAATTACTCATTTTATCGTTTGTCTAAAACTTGCGACTTGATCGAAATTCGTAATGAAGATGGAGTAAATCCCGAGATTTATTTCATCTTCATGCGAACGACGGAAACGCAACGACGACACACAAAGTTCGCGGAGAACACCGCGTTATTATGCATTATTATGTTGCTTCACAAACATTGCAACGTGAATTGTGTTTAACTTCCTTCTATGCCGGCCTTAATTGCGCGATGCTTTCTGCGCCTACTATGTTATTCTTGCGGGAATCCTTTCTATTCACATTATGCCGGCAAAAATATCGGTCAAGTGGCAGGCTTTGTTTATATTTGCACTTTGCGCGGTTGATTTTAATGGCGGATTCTATCTTTAACGAGGAAAATGGATCGAGATATTTCAGAGGCGTGTTCTCGCCGTTCTGTCATTTTAATCGAGCCAGCTATTTATTTTCCTTTTGTCACATAAATTGTCGATATTTCTTCCGGCGTATCTCTTCCTCCTATTAATTCAGAATCGAATGCGTAAAATGGCGAAGAATCTATTTTATCTTTAATAGGGAAAATGGATCGAAGTCGAGATATTTTAGAGGCGTGTTCTCGCCGTACTGTTATTTTAATCGACTCAGCCATTTATTTCCGTTTTGTCACATGAATTGTCGATATTTCTTCCGATGTACCTCTCCCTTTTGTTAATTCAGGATCGAATGCATGGAATGACGAAGAACGTAAGGCACCGCGAGCTCGTGGCATAACGTTCGCATGCCAATTCGTGTGGAAAAAGGAATTCCGCGACTGGGAAAAAATTCAGCGGTAGAACGATTAAACCGAGTTCGTGACCGAGCATCGCCGTGCGATATTTACAATTCGTGCGGCGCGCGAACGTCATAGTGGAAAACGCGACAGTTCGCTGGTCGGAGTACGGCACGTAATTGCAGACTGCTTAATCTCGAGCACCTGATATATGTGCGTCACGTAACAGCGAGGTCGTTAGCACTTTGGGAGTTTTTGGGTCGGACGCAAAAGTGTAGTTCTAGTTGTGCTAACGGAGGGGCAAATTGCGAGAGGAATGCCTTTTGGCTGCGGTTCAAGAGAATTATTTTTTAGTCGAAAAAGGAAGCTAAGTCCGACTATATTTCGCCGAGACATACTTCTATTCTTTTTTTTTTTCATCGCCTACACATTAAGTATGATATTGACTCGCGAGTAGTCGGTCTTGTAAGTAGTCTTTTTTCCCTTTTCTGTTTCAGGACATTATTGGATACTGCACATAAAATGGCCGGAATACGAGTTTTCGTTGTACGCGCCCAATAATTGGTGTCACAAGACGCTCTACATTTTTTCTTTAGTTCATTTGTGCGTGGTGTATGCGGTTTTGTTAGTGATACTGTTGGTCGCGATCGGCCTGGCTTTCTGCAGAATTCTGGAATGTCCCTTACCAGAAAGGTAAGTCGATGTTGCGCACATGTACTCGGAGAGCACCCGGCTTGCAGGCATTTCTCTTCTTAGACTTCAACAGTCACAGAGTTGCATGAAATCTCAGTTGAACGATGAAATCAGTTGCATTGATTACAAGCCGATAACGTTGCATTCATTCGCGCGAAATGTCTAAAAGCTGTCTTCTTACAAATTGCAGATATAGAAAGCGACAGTTCCGATCAAGACTAGTTTTCCTAAAAATTTTCAAGATAGGGGAATAATTCGCGACGTCGCGCGATTTTCTTTGGAAAATGCGAGCGCGAGTCACATAATGAAAATAACGCGCGATGTTGACGTAGTTCCCGTAGAAATTGACGACGCAAACTATTTTACGACGGCGAACCCGACGATGAAAAATATTTCGCTCCGGCGCGTCACCGCGTTTCAATCTGCGTATATCAAAACACTCACTCGATACGTTTGGAGAGCTGAGTAGCACACGCGCATATCACGTAACGTGCGGCTCGTATAAACGCACACCTATCATATTTCTATCGTCGGCGAAATGTGAACGCCCACTCGAAGCCCCGTGCTGCGTGCTCAACATGATAACGAGATGATTAAAATATTTGCGGCGATTGTACAAGGGATACACGTGGCGAGCCTTTGTAAAAATTCCTGTACCGTATCGCGACTTGGCCGTTTACACCCTGCGCCCAAGACACACAGAGAAGCATCCAAAATAAGAAAAAAAGTAAAGTAAAGAAAAAAAGACGAAGCGTTTTCGAACCCATGTTCGTGTAAACTTTCTCTTTTATTTTTGATATCGCTATACGCTCCCTGAGTGCACCCTTTAAAGCTGGAGAATGTCTTCCGTAAGGGAGACCTGCCGGAATCGTGTTTGTCTAGCCATTACTAACGAAAAAATTGTAATTCTCCGACCGGTGCAATTCCGACGACACTCTTCTATCGATCTACGTGTAATAAACATCGAAATTCTGAAAGAGGAAAAAAATAACCACAGTAAGATAGAGACATTTTGTATAAATCGACGAATCTTTCTCTCCGCGGTCGATAAGAGCACACTCACGCTCCAAAGTGCGCCCGTTCTGCTCGACTTTCAGATACAAATAACCATGGCGATCTGTTCGCCAGAATAAAATCCGCGAGAGGAAGAAGAAGAAGCAGAAGTTGGCGGTCAGCGATAGGGGTGGTGGCTGGCGTCTAGACAGATGCAAGGTCCTGGAAGACCTGCAGGAGGAGGAGGATGACGATGACTACTACGAGCGGAGCGGCGATGTCGAGTCGGGCGAGGACAACAGCAGTAACAAGATTGTCCAGGAGGTGAAGTTCAGCAGCAAAGTGCAGTTTCGCGCGCCGGATATCATCGAGTTGTGATGAACAAGCGACCACGACGGAGGAGGAGTTCTGCCGTCGAAAGGGCGACGGAAGGACGCGACCGGCGGGATGTTGTCGGCGGGAGCAATTCGTAATCTGGAAAAGTTTGCTGCGATAACGAGAACACTAGCCGCGGGGGCGGGATCTGCGACGAAGAGGGGAAGTAGCGAGATTGTAGCGGAAGAATGGATAATGAGGTCGCGAGAGAAAAACGCCGCGGGAGACCAATGACGACATATATATCTTTTTCATGAGTAATCGAGGTCGAGACCTCGACACGTGCGAGAAGGGATGCTTGTCTTCCGTGGAGGAGGGGGGGAGAGGGGTGATGGAAATCCGGAAAAGTTCTCGAAACTCGCGAGACTCGGCGAGCGGATCGGCATTTTAGCCGCCCATAAACGGATAACGCAGAGACAATGGAATTCGCGGGAGCGTGTAGTCGTGTCTCGATTGATTTATTCCCGGAGTAATTCACGGAGCACGGAGCTTTTAGCAGTGAGGTTGAAGAGACATTAAGCACGCGACGAGAATTTCGAGCAAACATTGATGCTACTAAAATATAAATTATAAACGTTCATATCAATTTATCATCGTTATCGTCTCGATTCCGAGAGACTGAGGAGGAGAGTGTGTAACTTCGACACGAGGGAAGTTGGTACCATTTTGCGATGAAAAATGAGCAACTAGAACGAGGAATAAAGAGGTAGGAGATCGACGGATTCTCGTGGCCGGATTTAACGTAAGAATTCTGCCTGGCGACGAGGGAAAACAAAATAAGAGTTCTTTTGGTGGAAGAAAATTCGCCAAAGATTGTCCGTAAGAATAATACTGGATAGAGTGCGTTCTCGCCTGAAACAGAGAATATTTCCCGAGGAATTTCGTGCCGGAGCGTCGTTTCGTGTGTTACGCCGTTCGATACGAGTCGCGTGTACTGCTGGCTGTGTGCGGCACGGCGGAGAAATCGATATGAAGACCTCCACGAAGCACTTACATCAGAGCGAGGATTTCCGATAGCGAATCTTCGATTCGGCGCTAATAAGGGGGAGGGCTTTTCCCCCTCCCCCTCTCTCTATCTCTCTTACGCACAAATTAAACGTGGAAATTGGATTTTAAGTCACGCGATAGAACCTAATCAAATTAGCATCGCCGAGAACGATGTATTCTTCTCCTCCTGGAAATGTTCGCCGAGGAACTCCACGTCACATCGACATCGATTTCGCGCGATTAATTGCCGGACTCGTAGTCATCGATCTTCCAATTCCTTTAATTCGTTCAACAACGGAGAAGTCCTCCGCATTTCCTCCACCTTCAACATCGAGCTTCCAGCAAGATTATAACTAAAAAAAGGAAAAATAAGAAAAAAGAAAGAAAAATATATGACTTTGGGAAATTGATGTGTATTCTTGAACAGATTAATCCCGCGCAGAGCCCCTCGACAGTCGGGGCTCGAAGTCCAAGTTCCATCACTTCCCACACAGATTCGCCCCCGTGGGAAATGCGTCGTGTAACAAGCTCGAGCCGTAAAGGCCGGTAAAGTCGGGGAAAATTCGCGGAAGCACTGGCGACTACCACGGTGTAATTTTACCACGGTGTAATGTCTACCACAAAGTTACGGCTCACCCCAGCGCAAAGAAATCGACAATGAGTTCGCGGAATTCCGAGTCGCTTACTTCGAGCGTGGAGGAGCGAAGAATCGCACGGATGGTAAAAACACGGGGAAAGAACGGGATACAATCGACTTATCGCGCGGCAACGATGACAACGACGGCGACAACGACAACAACGACGACTGGGAAGACGACGACGAAAACGACAACGATGACATGTTTCTGCGGGCCGATCCGACGCGCAAAACCGTTTCATCGAATCAAGTCTGGCGAAGTAGTTTACAGTGACGGCGTTTCTCTCCGTTGGCTCAGTGGCGGAAGTGATATCGGGATTTTTGTTCCGATTACTCGATACTCTCACTCCTGCACGAAGCTGATACTTGTCGGCGCGCGAGAAATCGCGAGAGATATGGAATTTAACGCCCGCTCGCGAGAATACAGCTGCAAATCGTCCGAGTTTCCGATCGGTTCTCGTTACCTCTCGATAGTGTCGAGCGATGGTTGAAGGTAAGTGGAACTGATTAAGGGTGCTTCAGTACAGGGCGGGACGTATAGAGTGGAGGGGACGTGGTTAGTTAACATTTCCGTTAGTGAATTAGAACTTTTACTGCCGGATCGCGCGTGTTTCGCCCGATTCCCGGTAAAATTACGGGGACTACAATTTTCCAAAGTGAACTCCATTCTCTCCTCTCGCAAAGATCTCGATAATTCAAACGATAGAGGAGTCGCGTCTTCGCTTTCGCGCGCGAACACGTATAAATTTGTAACGTGACTGTTCCTCCCCTTTGTTCGTCCCACCCACTATCGAATTCAAGTCGTTTCGCAGCCTTCACTTAAGATCAAGGCGAAGTGATATATTGGAATGAGAGAAGGGTCGCGTCGACTCCCAAAAGGAACCAAACGCACGTGGTATCGTGAATTATTCACCACTCTCTAAAGCGAATCAGTAAAAATATATCCGATTGAATCAGTCAAAGGAGTATTTCACCGACAATCACTGAATATTCAATATTTTCCTTGATTTTTAATGGAAACACTTTAGTTTGTCACTCAGCAGATTTCACTGCAAAATCCGTAGTAGGCAAATTCGTAATACTCCATACGAAATCCAACTCTCTGCTTTCACGATGATAGAATTAACGGCTTTCACGTAATTTGCGGGCGACAGCGCTATACGCGTTTGCAAGCTGCATCAGTCATGGCTACAGTTTCTACTATTAGCTGATCCTTTCAGCGAAATTTTACTGACTGCAGTGTTATATACTTATAACTGAATCATCACTTACAAACATAGCATTTCGGTGAAGAATACACTGATCGTACTTTAGAGAGTAGGTGTGTATTTTCAATCGGCAACGCGGTCGAACGCGTTTGAAACTTTCTAATCGTTGCAAGGCTTGTCGAAATGTGCAAAAATACCTGATTATAAGTAAATATATTTGTCCTCCGTACACGCATACAAACACACACATTCAAACACAGATGCACACAGATGGATTTTGTTTTTACAAATAACTTTCACAAACATTTCCGCGAATCACTTTATCAACGTTACATTCGGATCGTTTCCGCCCTGCTTTTTTTGAGTTTTATGGAGTAGAACAATTTGAACAGTTTACTCGTGCGCAATTCGCGGGAGAATAGCGCAATTAGCGGGGAAGTTAACGAACCAATCAACGATATGTTCGATGTTCTAACTGCAGTTTTACTTCGACTCGATGCTCCAAAATGTTCTTTCTCGACATTCGATAATCAAAGGTCGTTTTTGAGAAAAAAATTCTTCCCGTTCGTATTGAAAAGAACAATAACGTATCGCGTGAAAGACAGCGCGCGCGAGCGAGAATTCGGGGACGATTTCTGTTGCCGAGCGGGACAAGATGAATCGATCGCGCTGACTTCGTAAGAGCGACCGACGAGTGAGACTGGAGGGTGAATCGAGTCGGATTTAAGAGCCTTTGTCTTGAATAAGATGTAGTGATAAGGCGACCAGAAGGGTTAGCTGCTTAAATTGAGCGAAAGTAGGTCGGCGAATAGAGGCTCCCGAGTAAAAATCCGATTCACCCCTCTCGTGCGTCCTTTAGCGCGTTTATGCTTTTCCTACGTCGAATATTCCGATGTCGCGGAAATTGTCAGTCAGCTCGAATCGATCTCGAATACATGCACACTATTCACATACACATACACACACGTTCATACACTCTAATCGTCACCTTAATAAGTTTAATGCACGGGATTGAAGAAAAAAGAAAAGATAAAACGTAAATTCCGATGTTCAAAATTGCTGCTTCTAAAATTATGGAAGTTTATTTCGCTACGTAAAACGGTGCTCAAAATCGATACAGTTTCGAACACACGAAGTAAACATCTCTAAATTTGGACATTTTATAATTAGGCCGATATTAGTGCCACGTTTTGTCGATGCACCGTGTGATGTGCGTTATTCACGCTGTCTCGAGCATCCCGCGTCGAAGACACAGGAATCAGGCGTTGATCCTTTTGCGATTACGACGCGACCGATCGCGCCTCGACGCCTCGTCAAAAGAATAGGAAGAAAAAATAGACGGAGGGAGGAAGGGAACAATGTGTCAATTAAATCAACACATCAGCAAGCTTCGTTCAAAGCCATGTAGGACGCGAACTTCGCGAGAGAGTAGATATCTCGCGTATATCACAAAAAACGCCGGGCACAGTGACTGTAGATACGTCAGGACCAAACTCTATAAAACAAACAAAAAGAAACAGACAATTCCGTCGCTAAGACGCGACACTTTCTCGTCACGAAGATGCGCAAGTTTGCTGAAAAGATTCAACGTCGTGGAGATAGAAACGACGTTCCCCAGCGCGTTTTCGCGAACTCGCACGTTTATTTCGTAAAATATCATGAATTCACGCGAGATTTAATTGACCGTTTGCGAGTGATATATATCATTATTTTTATATCATTATTTTTTTACGCGGAGGCAGGGCAAGAACTCGGTTCACAAACGTTAACGTCAACGTTCATTTCATGCGCCAATATTCGTTCTTTGTGTATCTATAACCACTGTACCGGTTCACACGAGTAAACGCGCAGCGACAGCTTTCTAAACCGCGGTAATAGAAGCAACGAGCATTTTTACTCGTATGACGTACCGTGCGCGTGTAAAAAAAAAAGATATATGTATATATAAATGTACACATATACTCTCGTACGATAATAGCAGTGACCTCTAATTAAAAATGAGAAAAAAGAGATCTGACCAAAAGCAGCGAATTATCATGGGAATTCAAGCATTTTACTGGCCGTTAATTTTGCTTCAAGTATATGTACATATATATCTATATATCGTCCTTGTGTTTTGCACCTGCGACTGGTTCGAAAACGGGTCCATATTTTATCGTCTATATACGAGTAATAAATACGATGATTGTGTCAGTAATTAAGGCTGTAGCTCTCTCTTTATCTCGTGTCAGCGTGTGTGCGTGAATGTTAAAATAAATCTCCGCTAGGAACGCGCCTTCCACGCGATATTTCCATTCTGTCATTTATTCATTTACCATTATCTCAACGAGCGAAAATTCCGTTCGATTTCCAATCGTGCGAACACTCGAGTGAACGAACACACGGCTTTTTATTGTCTTTCAGTTCCTCGTGCGGACATTTTGTGTATATATATGTATTTATGTGTAAAATAAAGCGTGTGAGATTGGTTAAGTGAGTTTCGGAAGTATGAAATAATAACTTGATGATACTACGCGCTGTGTGCAGCAAAAATTAATGTGGATGGCATTAACTAATGTCGAATGCATGGTTCGTTTAATTTGAAATGTCACGTGTGTACGATGCGTGAACGAGATATCGAATTTCTTCTTGAGAAGTCGCGCAACTTTCGTTGCTGGCAATATTACAAAATTTTGACAATAATGCATGATATATATTTCTCTTTCCCTTTTTCTTTTTCATTTCTCCACTACGTTAGGCAGCGACGAAAAAGTTTGGATGGAGCCACGATAGATGGAAATTGAATTAGAGGTTCCTTCCTCTCGTAAAATTATGGTTTTTATCATACATGGTTGGTTTCGCGAAAACGACGACTATGTGTCATTTTCAAGCACGACAGCTGCGATGATAAATCACGCTATGGCCAGAAAACACGTGCTCACACATACGAGATCGCATATATCGGGGGGTGACTCTGAACAAATTCGCATCGAGCGACCTAATTTCCGAACACATGATCACATTGAGTTGAATTTCAACCGGGTTGTGCGCGACAGACTGACGATTGTTGTTGCTGCTGCAACAATAACAACACACTGTTCCTGTGTTAGCAGAATAATACAAACGATTATCACCTGCGTTTCTCTTCCCTTCTGCGCGCATTTAAGGGACATTTATTACTTCAACCTGTCCCATTTAATGGCAAGCACCTCGGCGTGCTGTTCGCAATATTACCGAAGTATATCATGACATTATGTTTGACGTAAACAAAAGCTCAGCGTCGGCTAGCTCTGTTTAATGTTAAATGTGCGGTGGCGAGGGCGCTCGTCTTAGCCCCGTGAAATTGCAGGCTCGCTACAGCCTTTACACACCCGCGGCCGAACAGCGCATCGATTTTCCTCGGTGAAAATTCGACGGTCGTTCCGGGTTTTGTGGGATTTATGTCGACGTTGAAAGCCGCGCGCGAGACGGAAATCGTGGCCGGGAAGTGGCAAGAGGGAGACACGATGTGAATCGATGTAGAACGCCAGGATCTAACTAGTAAATCAAACCGCCGTATCTCGTATTTCATTCCCGTGTTCCGAATTGATCCGCGAAGATACGGGAATTTCAATCGTAAACAGCTTGCTTGCTTCCTTCTCCTTTCGATATTCGATCTAATAGATAATTATCCTTATGTTGCGCATAAGATACATTTAAATCATACGAACCATGCGTCGACTGCAGATCGAGAATAAGAAGTTTCAAAGAATGTGACCAAAATATTTCGCCTCTTTTTCATAAATTTTGAATATCCCAATTAATGATACACCGATTTTAGCTTATGTCGACCCAAATAGAAAAGTAACCATCCGGTTTGAATTGGAAGCTGTTAGCTCAATAATATTGAATTGAATTTTCTGGCTCGTTACTAATTCATTATTGTTTGATTATTCACAGAAATGTAGAATCGACTTTGTGGTCTAACCGTTGTCTGACTATTACATTTCAAGTATGATAAAGTAGATGGCGTTGTCTGTTCTAAAACACACAAACTAGCTAATATATCACTACTAGCATTTTAAAGTTAAGTAGCAAATAAAAAGTGAGGTTGTTAATTTTGGTTTATCATCTCATAACTGTAATTTTGTTCGTTTAATCATCAGCTAAACTTATTTATCTAGCCACTAAGAGGAGTGAGCGTTACATTACTGGTTAGCATATTAGACACAAATTTGCTATCTTGTGGGTAGACACTGACGAAGTTCAATTTCTACTACGGGAGTAGATTAACAATATGAAGTTTCGATATTATCCTCGTAGTCGTTTGGGAGATAAACGGCCCAAAGGGCTGCAATCTCAACGGACAGCTGTATTAGCGCGTGACGTGAACTTTGCGCGTTATATCACAGAATAATACGAAAATAATATTGACATTTTACATTCTTCATCATCTACATACACCTACTCGTCCCGAGCTTCAAGTCGACTTATCATTTATGGGAATATTCAAAGTTTTACAAAATCCCGTGGAAGAAGGGCGCACTCTTTATTGACGCGTCGCTACAGTTATAACTCCGCAACAAAGGCAAAAGAAATCTTTTCGATAAAATGCGTTATTGTTTACCTCGAAAATGTCATGCATATAAACGTTCTCAGTTAACCAACGTACAAAGGCCAACGAAAAAAATGCGCAAGTCTGTAAATTAGAAGAAGAAATTACAACGAGCCGTTGATAGCGTTGACCCGTCCGCGATTTATTCTTAATAGCTCGACGGGTTGTCCGTAATAAGGATTGCCCGTAAGGATAATCGATCGTGCGCACAGCACATCTTGTACATAATGTGTGTCGTGTGTGAAACAACATGTTAACTATCTAGGTCATCCTCAACACCATCCATGTTCGGGCGTCATCGATGTGTGTGAATGCGTGCGTGCGTGCGTGCGTGGGTGCGCGAGGCAATCCGCGAATGATAATATCGATAACGACAGTGCTAGCGCGGTAGATATCGTTCTTGGAAATTTGTCTCTTGTACGCATATTTTGTCCTTAAACGGTACAAAAGCCGTGTCTCTCACGCGCTTTCTCCTCTCGCGCGAAATCTCCTCTAAAATATCAACGTAGGATAATGTTGCCTGGATATTATTGTAACACAAAGGAGGAAAGAAGAGAAAAGAAATATGATCACCATTCTAGAGTTAACAGATCCTTCGCGTGCACGCGAACGTTACTTGCGGTTACGAAGGGGTCACGAATGCTCATTCCCGTTAATGTAATTCGCGGTGCTCGGGGGATTAATCGATCGAACGCGTAGTGAAAGACTCAGCGAGCTGACTTTCCGTTCACATTCCGTTGGTACTACGCGCCGGCAGTGTTGCGCGTTTCCTGTCGCGTTCTCTCTCGACTAGCGCGGTATGAACCTACTGCAACGCCTAAGCTGCTAATTATAAAAATAGCGTACACACATTAATGTAGCGCGTATCGAAACGTAGGGCGACGCATCTTGTTGTGACAATCGCGCGAGAACGCGGCCCAACTTTGTATGCGAGAACGCAGTGGGACTTTGTGATAAATCGTACATATATATATTATATATATATCGAGTGAGCAACTTGGAACACCATCGAGATAAGTGAGAAATCTCGATTCCGAGACCGTAAAATATCTATCTCTCTCTCTCTCTCTCTCTCTCTCTCTCCTCGACTTAGCCCCGCCTAGATATATAAGCACAACATCGTCGATCAGCAAGACTTATGTTACTAGATGTACTGTTGGGATGTCGTTGAATTTCTCCTAGGATAGGGAGTAGAGTTTATTTATTTTTATACTGGACGTGCGCGTCGACCGAGCGTCCGCTGTGTGTGTTTAATTGGGTGCGCGGGACGTCCGTTATTTAAACAGCAGAGGAAAGAAAAGACAAACGAGCGCGAATGTTTTTCGATTGATTCGGAATCTATGCGCACGCACGACACACATCATCGTTTCTCTCGTTGATTTTCCGCGGGTAATTGCGACCCGTTTCCACGTCGAGATTAGCGTTAGAAGCGCGAGGGTGCGCGCGCGCGTGTGTCGTTTGATCGTTCAGTATCTAAAGGATAGTCTTCAGTCTGCAATGCGGTCGTAGTTACGTTTTAAAGTCGTAGCGCTGGCTTGTAAATCGATCATGTGTCTGTTTCTTTCGCGGAAATTCGTGAAAAGAGCGCGGCCATAAACCACTTGGCCTCTTTTTCACCAATTTGAATATTCTAATTAATGCTATATCGATTTGAAGCTTGAAACGAGTAGATTAAGTATGTAAACTCTCGGCATTATTCTTGCACTCATTTGGGAGATATAAACGATCCAAGAGATTGAGATCTCGACAGACGTTTGAGTTCAGCTCCCAAATGACTGCGAGAATAATATCAAGACTTTGCATTCTACCCGTCTCAAATCGATGTATCATTTACTGGAGTATTCAAAGTTTTACAAAATCCCGTGGAAAACTCGGCCGCATATCTTCATTGACGAGTTCAAGAAAACTTTTCATTTTTCACGAGTTTACGCGAAAGGAAGGTATCCGATCGATTCGCAGACCAGTGCTGTAACTTGAAAACGTAGCTGCGACCACATTGTAGACGATTCCTAACACCCGAGCGCGAAACGAAGCGATAAGCGCGCAGCTCGCGCGCGATTGCTCGGCAGAATGGTAAATATTAAGCGACATTAACGACAACAGTAATGCAAACAGTCGAACGTGCTACGATACGATATCAATGGTACTTTATATAATGCCGAGTAATCCGCGCGCCAATGGGCCGATGTCGGCATTCGATTCGAGGCATTCGCGCTGAATTACTCGCCGCGGCCACCGACCTGTCAAGGGGTGGACTTTTGCGGGACACGCTGCGCTATGTGTTTAGCGATACGTACGTGTTTTTAGCTGTTAGGATTATTTGCACGCGCCAAGTCGCGAATTGTGGTCCAGGCTTTAACGTAGAATTTACAGCAGCGTCACGCGGACCGACCCCGTGCGCCGTTACGTGCACGACGGGTCCGTCCCGTGCGCGTCGATCGTACTTTTCTACATCATTTTCGTCCTTGCGTCGGATGACATTATGGTTGGTCGCTTCGGTCCAATTCCGGTAGTCACATCTAGCGTCACATCATCTCCGGCCTTTTGCGCGCGTCCGCGTGATCCGCGGGGACGACAGTGGCGTAAGTCTCAGGAGCGCGTAAATCGCGAAAATATACAGTGGACGTGAGTCGCGGAGTTTACAGAGGTGTTGTGCGAAATCGACGTGTTGCAATTGTGTCGCGAGAAGTATATATACATATATATATATTCAAAGGCCGATATTTATTAACGATATATTTGTTGATGAAACGCAGCGATGTAATAGAGATCCTGCGAAATTCGCCGTTTACGTTTGAGAGAAATATATATATGTATATATATATATATATATATATATATGTATGTATGTATATATATATATATATATATATATATATATATATATGTATGTATGTATATATATATATATATATATATATATATCGTTTCTCACATAATTCTAGAGAAAGAAAAGCTGTTAAATATATATGTTGTATTGAGCGTCTGTTAAATTTATGCCAAAAGTGTTTAAGATCGTGTTAGATGTGAATTTTACTTCCGATTACGCGGCTGAGTTTCAGTCGCGACGGGGCCCCAAAGAACGATGCATCGGTGCAATGGAGTGTGCGTGATGACCCGGCGAATGTGTGTACACGAACGTCGAACGCCGAAAGCTTTTGTGGGAGTTTGACTGCTATTGACACTACGTACGCACGGATTCGTATATTAACTCCGTTACGCCACTGTGGAGATTGGCGCATGTTTCAGCGGAAATCAATATATTCGTTCATGCTCATCACGTGTGCCGTGTCGCGAATCAACGCCCATCGAAAAATTCGCGAGCGCCGCGAAATAAAAGCCACGTCGAAACTTATAATCCGTCGTCGCGTGCATCGAGACATGCGAGGGCGATAGGGGAGAAGGTGGGAATATGAAGCAGGGTAGTACTACGAAACACAAGGCTGATTTCTTAAGAACAATTGCCGCGGTATGTCGGTAACTGAAACAAACATAACCATTAGGATCTTTATCGGTCGCCAAAGGGGGTCTCGCGTCAGTTGTTACGTTATTTCGCTTCTCGCTACGTTGTTTTTAACGTTAGGAGAGACCGCTTTGATTTCTCTCCGTTAAAACTTTTCACACGATAAGACTCAACAATTTTTCTGTCTTAATCGATAAATCTAACTATAGTATGTAAATTAGAGTAATAAGACTAAACTTGAAGATCGCGGAGTTTTTTCCGAAAATATTTTTCCTACTTTGGGATTTGTTGGGTCGTTTGAAGAAAAAGCGGTGTGATTTGATGTGGAACAAGATGCTCCATATTACCACGTCTTATGTAGTAGATGTGATGTTTTTATTAGCGACTTCTGTTAGATTTAAAGGACTTTTATATAATTTGACTTATTGAGTTGAATTTTCTTAATTTTCGTAGGATATTTTTTAATCTTATTTTCAACTTATAATTTTTACATTCAGAGGAATTCAATAAAAAAAAGTTATTTTAACACCAACATAATAATATTAATATTTAACATAATCCATACAATATAATAATAATATTTTGTAATAATAAAACAAACTTTTTTATCTTTATGCTTTTTTATGTTTCATATATCCATTTTCTAAAACTTCATTTTTTGTACTATGTTAAAAAAACAATATTTAGTGTTCTTTGAATATTTGATTTCTTTTCCTAACGATTATATATACCTTATAAGATATATATATTTTTTTTCTTGCTAACACTTCTGACAGTTATTGATGCAATTATGGCATCTAGTATCGGGTTTTTCTAAAACAAAAAAGTGATCGATATTCCCATACCCTCTCTCCTATGTTGCGCCACGCAATGAAAATTTGTCACGACCGCGGGAGTAAAATTCGATAGCAACGAAGGGAAATTCTCGGGTCTGTCGCTTCAACGAGCAATCAAACGCAAATTTTGAACGAGCGAAAGGAAGCAGCGGTAGTACGAAATAATTGCGCCTAATCAAACGTGTAATCGAATAATAACGAAGCTATTATAGAATCGTCGCCAAGCTTGGCGTACATTTTCATTTTGTATGACCGTGTCATACATAATTTTGATGTCGCGAGATAATTACGCCTGTTATGACCGTGATCATGATCAAATCAATTCAGATAACAGAGTTATCAATGAGACTGCAAATTCTCGCGAAGTGAGATCATTTTTATCGCGTGTGGCGCAACCATGACAGTCGTTATTCCGTAATAGCAGCGGATCCTCATCGATCGCCACGGAGCGCCGTTCATATCGATTTTGCTGTCGGGCGTTTTACGTTATTCAGCGGCAACGTTGTTGCCTAAAATGAAACGAGCGCGGACTATCCGATGAAAACAGGGATTCGCGCGAATAGCGTCGTGCAAAACGTCAGCGCTCGTTGCAGTGTTCTCACGCGAGAAGGGCCTTTCGTTGCGATTTTTCATCTGCCTTCTTCTGCTCTCGACCGCGGTTGAGCGGCCTTCTGTGCCGCGTTATTCTGTGTAAAAAATAAAGGTCGATCCGCGGCTCGATTGGTCATATTGAACCACTATACGAAGACTTCAAGGGTCCAATCACGGCTTTGAATCGTAACCAGCATAAGTCACGCTATGATACATATACACGATACCCCCGTCTCATCATCTCTTAATCGAGTAAGTCTTGTAAGCAGCAGATTTAGAGAACTCTCTACGCCTAATCATATATTCTTTACGGTATTTAGCGTTTAAAGGACACTTTAGCGGCAGGTTTGATTCGCTTCAGTTTCACACGCGTGATGCGGCAGAGAATTGTCTTTTGGACTTGTCAGAAAGTACATTCGGGAAAATTGCAGTTACGAGACCAATTTTGCTTTGTTCGTTCATCCGTCCGTCCGTCCGTGCGTGCGTGCGTGCGTGCGTGCGTGCGTGCGCCTAAGTCTCTTCATTCAATTATGAAGAGACATATTTTTGCAAAATAATCTTTTCGTCGTATCATTTTCCCCGTGAATTTATAATCGTCATAAGTCATTGCGTTCTGGAAAGAACAACTGTAGAGTTCTCTGTCGACACGAGTAACGGTTGAGACAAATCAGCAGAATCCAAACGGCCGCTAAGTTTTCACTTGCTCATATCATATTGTAATAATGTATAATCGTGCTGTTTCAATATTGTGACAACTAATATTGTGAAAACGTCATTTTAAAGTACGCCCAGTACTTTTGCATACGATTAAACAAATAATTTATTTTGAAAGAGTAATGTAAATCAAATTTTAAATATCTCGTAAAAAACGTATCGATTACGCGCATAACATATTGTATGTTATTCAAAGGCCGGAAGAACAGCTAGAATATTGTATTATTCGAAATGTAATGTGATTTGAAATATGATTCGAAGTAACATCGCGTAGGTACAAACGATTGAAACGCAATATTTTATTTCAAAACGCATCTACCAAGTGCATACTGTAACGTGCGTGTGTAAACGTGCATTACTCAGATCAACGTTAGCGAATGATGTGTTGCTTTTAACGCAATACGATCTGTCGACCCTGGCGAAAATGAAAGAGTAAGAAAGACTATCAAACGTTCAGTAACACTTTTCCTCTTTCAAAGAGTTCCGAAATTCTTGTTTGTAAGAGAAAAAAATTTAGGTAAAATGTTATTTAGATATCATTTTCACCATGGAAAAAGATAAAAAACACGCGGTGACGTTTTCCAGTAGTCGCGACATTGAGGCAACGCAATGACACGCAATTTAGACAAGAGTACCTTCCGCCATTCAACCACAACATATCGCTTTGAGGGTAGCCTCGCCATTGAAGGCGCAAACGCGATTACGCGTTGCGTAATCATCACGAACGCTCGCATTCTCACCGCACATTTGGCGCTGAATGCAGCCGCTAATTACCAAGTCTTCTGCCAAGAAGCGACGTGGAGAGCGTAGAAGGAAAGACACAGGAGGGAGAAAACATAACAAACCGCATTCAGCGCTAAATGAGCGACGAAAATACGGACCAAGAGCACGAGATATACAGGTGGCTCTCGCAATTCGCGCGATTAATGAGCTTTCAGAGATTACCGTGTAAACTAAATTAAATCGGGGGCGCGGGAGGGAAGACGCGCAACTCCGCCGCAGACGCTATCCTTATAGCGCGTTGTTGCTGCTGCTGCTCGCAAAATAGTTTCAGCAACAATTTGCGGGAAACGCGATGATCGCGCGATGATCGACAACTGCCTGTAATGAGTCCTAAGCTCTCGTCGCAGCAGATATTAAGGAACGTTCTCCCGCAGCACGTTTCGGCTTTTTGTCAAGATCTCGTCGGCTGACGAGCGCAATGAGCAAGGCTTCGCAAATAATCCGCGAAGCGTTCGCTTATTCCGAAAATCCCTTTCGCTGCGAGTCGCTACATCCGCACGAGAGACGCAATCAGCGGATGGACGTAATTTCGTTCGCGCGAAATAACTCACCGTGTAATCGTTCCGTTTGAAGATGTATCGTGACAACAGTCAGTAGCGCTGTAATTTTCGTCAGACTATAATTATTCGGTATCTCTCTCTCGGCCCGGATAACCCAGTGATTTCGCCAAATCTCGTTTCCTCCGAGATTCCGTATGTCCGCGGATTTATCATGGCGCAATGTTATTCCTGCTGCGCTCACCGCGAATCCTAATCGTCGGCTGTTTCATTAATATCATATGTTTACGGGGAAAGCGTTTATCGACGCGAACGTGCCGGGATATCGCACACGTCGTCCGCGAAAAAGCCTGAACGTGCTCGAGGACAACGTGCCTGCGCTCACTATTACGAAGGATGCAACTAAACAATCGAGCAATGCCAGTGCATGTATCACACACACATTTGTATAATATACATACGATATACATACGATATACATACGATATACATACGATATACATACGATATATATGTATATATATATATATATATATATATATATATATATATATATATATATATATAGCGTGGAAAGTTGAGAAGGAAAAAGAAGTAATATAATGTAACGTATATGAGACACATACACGTACTATGATGTATCCCCGTAGAACTATCGAGGTTGTAAAACGGACGATTAATTTAATAACGGTACGACATTTATATAGGATATTATATTGTAAACAAGCGACACACGCACTGTATGCGGTACGGTGGACTCATATTGTGACCTATTTATAACGTGACCGCCGAATACTGAAAATATAAAATGTCTACGTGGTATATACGGTGGTATCTAAGTCTCTCTCAGTCTTCCTCCCATAAACACGCTTCTCTTTGTCCATCACATATGCGGAATCACGCGCTCTCTCGCCCCTTTTCCCGCCGCGCTCCAAACAAGATTCTCCCTTAAACCACCGCGAAAATGTTCCGTTGAGACTCCGGCGTATGGATATCTTCTTGAGGAACAGCAAATACCAACAACAACTCGATCACGAGGCGACTGACAGAGAGTAAAAACGGATTGACCGCAAAATGCTTACGTGTAATCCGGCTCTCGCGTCTAATTATTTCGGTATGTTCGGTATTGCGTGTCGGTACGTTTAGTATCACTCGACCGTGATGTGATGTGATTACGAGTTCGAATGTTGTTGGGGTGCGCATTGTCGACTGATATATTCGTTCAAACGAAGTTCGCCACGCTTCAATTAACGGCGTGATTAATTTATTCGGCGCGGTACGGTATAGAATTACGCGTACGCTCATGTAACGGGAATGTTCGTTAGAAAATTATTATGTGAGCCCGTGAATACGTTGAAATCAGCGCGAGAAGCAGAATATGCGTCAGCGAGGATTATTTCGTTTATTATA